CACACTGTACTATTCTTATTCTTTGTCCTGTTTCTGTAACACTCTCTATCTGCCTGTAGTTATATCACTGGTATTACTATTTTAATGATATTAAACAGTTTGAAAATTGATTTTCCTTTACTTTTAAGTTACTTCGATTTTAACAACGATCCAACTGTGTTTTTCTGATTCACAGAAGGCTACTTTCCAGAGAAAAACAGCCACCCATTGACAGCATCATTGCTGCTGGACTCATCCCAACGTTTGTTAGTTTTCTGGCGTTGTCTGAATGCCCCCCCATCCAATTTGAGGCAGCTTGGGCCCTGACTAACATTGCCTCAGGTACTTCAGACCAGACTTCTGCTGTAATAGATGGAGGGGCCATTCCAGCTTTCATCAGCCTGGTGACATCACCCCATCAGCACATCAGCGAACAGGCCATTTGGGCTCTGGGTAACATTGCAGGTACTGTGGCTCACAAAACTCAACCTCTTTCTTTGGATTTGATGTTATTTTATGTACTTCTGTGCATTACTACATCCTACACTGTTCCAGGTGTATGCTCTGATAGTTTTGATGTCAGCATGTATTGTAGATTATTGTGGACAATTGTGCCCACTTTAGTTCATCTGGAGTTCCATTTAGCCTGTGATATTAAAGGCTTTAGAGTGCATTTCTGTATGTATACAGTAGTTGTGCAACGGATCACGGTTGATCCGTAATCCGAACCGATCCCGCTCCACGGTTCGGCATGCACGTGATCCGAAGATTCGAAAAAGAAGGGGAAAAAAAGTATGTGCATGGTGCGCGTGGGGAGTCTGTCAAGCGATAGTTATGGCCAGCGCTAGTGGTCCAAGTGGAGGAGCAGAGGCGTTTACCGTGAGATTTTTGATCCATTGCACCACTAGTATACAGTAAAAAGTGCGTTGTTGCTGAGTCCCACATTGGGTCCATTTTCCAAAGGTGATTAAGCAAAAAACTAGAAGTCTGAAATTTTAGTTTTGCTAACCTTGTGTACTTTCAAAGTACCGTATTTCCCGGACTACAAAGCGCACCTGAATATTAGCCGCACAAGCTAAAATCAGGGGAAAATCCTGTTTTGTACATACACAAAGGGAATTGTCAGGAAAGAGATGGCTGTTTGGAGACACACCCCTTTTATTAATATTTTGAAAAACAAGTTATGGGTACATATTTGCATAACTTTTTAGGTATATGTACGAGTAGCGGTAATTACAAGTACGAAACATGTACTGTGCTTCATAAATGAGTAACAAATGTAGTACATAACAATAACCTACAGCACACCAGAAAAATAGATTC